ATTACAAGGAAAGAGCAAGTAACCCACTGTGTTAAGCATGACATTTTGAAGCAGAAAAAAACATTTTCTTGTAAAACACTCCAATAATCTTTTACTTACAACTTCGAAAAACCATTTTGTGTTTAATTTTTTTTAAATAATCAGCATGAATATGTTAATTGTGAAAACATATAAACTGAATCACTTAAAAAGTATGATCAATTAGTTAATGTACTTAAAATGTTTGATTAAACCGTTAAAAGAATAATTATAAATAGTTATTAATAAAAATAATAAATAGATTATAAATATTTAAACCTGGTTATTATGCATCTTTTATAGTTTATTGGTACTATGACATACATTCGTACTGGTTTCGTTTATGTATGACTGACAAATATGCATCACATTAAGTGTACTACTTGTTTATGTTAAAACTGTCAAATTGAAAAGTATGGACATTTTATATGCCATTAAAATGGATAAATCTTAAATATTAGGCCTAAAACTTTAAATGATAAAAAGGTAACCAGGTTTGTTTCTATTGAAGGAAAGGATCAAGAAGCAAGGTGTGTTAGGACGGCTACGCTACGGAGATGATACTGCTGCAAGAATGGAAGCTCAGTATCTGCATTGCTGATTTAATTTATAGTCCCACAGACACAACATCCTGGTTACTGCAAGCAAATCCAAAAGTTTTCTGTATCATTACTGATCAAACAAGGCAATGACATCACCTGACCACTTAAACTGATTTTCACTGTTTATTTTCTCGACACTAACCACTTCCTCAAAAGGCCATGGATGCCAGCTCAATACCTCAGATTAATATAGAGGACTATGATGGCCTTGAGGGTGCCCCAGATGATCATTTGAGAAACTTGAAAGCATTGACTGAGAAGCTCAGACTTGAGACCAGAAGGCCGTCCTATCTTGAGTGGAAGGAACGAGTGGAAACTCGACTAAAAGGTTTAGTCGTGTCAGAGGGCTCATCAGAGCTGGAGAAAAGTGTTGGACTGAAGCCCAACGTCACACCTCAGAATCAACAAGTGACTGCAGGGAATGCCCTGATTTCCAGAAGCCTTGGAGGGTTTGATAATATTGACGAAGCTCTTGTTTGGCTTAGAAAAGAACTGGTAAGTCAAAATGTTTCAACATCTCCATCTGTTGACTGAAGTTAAATGGCATTATTTCTGAATTGAAATTGCATACAGTTAATTTTATTACTTTTTGAGAACTATAAAGCCAAAAACATCAGGGTAATAAAATGTAATATTTAAAAGGATGAAATTCTTGACAGAAAAGCTCATTACATAGACTGGCATAATCTTTTTTTTTATTTTATTTTGTATTATTATTTCTTAAAATAATAAGTCCTTTCCATAATAAGTCATTTCCTTTTATATGCCAAATATTCATATGATTTCCAGAAGCCTTGGAGGGTTTGATAATATTGACGAAGCTCTTGTTTGGCTTAGAAAAGAACTGGTAAGTCAAAATGTTTCAACATCTCCATCTGTTGACTGAAGTTAAATGGCATTATTTCTGAATTGAAATTGCATACAGTTAATTTTATTACTTTTTGAGAACTATAAAGCCAAAAACATCAGGGTAATAAAATGTAATATTTAAAAGGATGAAATTCTTGACAGAAAAGCTCATTACATAGACTGGCATAATCTTTTTTTTATTTTATTTTTTATTATTATTTCTTAAAATAATAAGTTCTTTCCATAATAAGTCATTTCCTTTTATATGCCAAATATTCATATGGTGTCCATCACTTGTTTGTAAGTGTCCTTGGGTTCTTAAAAGGCGCTATATAAATAAAAAAGTGTTATTATTATTATTATTATTATTATTATTAACCAGCATGAAAAAAAAAACCCACAAAAAAAGGGGAAAAAATATAAGGATAAAAAATATCATGTGGATATCATGTGGTGTGACTCCCAAAAAAGGTATAATTAATATAAAAAAAATGTTTTTATTCATAATTTATGATATTTGTATATATAAAAAATACCTTGAAAATAGATTTTTAAAACTTTTGAATTGTTTTCAAAAATGATTATGAACACTCATTCATGTGTATTTTTTTTCTTACATTTTTTTAATCGACACAATTCATTTTAAACTGTATTTTTAAAGTATTTTGAATGAGATAGACACTCGTATTTGTCATTATAATCTTCTCACAAATTAGATTTTTCAAAATACTTGCTGCTATTTTGCAGTCATCTTTCTATAAGATAAGAAAATGAACAGCATCCCTATTAGTTAGCTAATTTGACTGAAACAATGGAGTGAATGTGCAGGGCTTTATTACCACATCACTGCACAAGATTGCCATTCATGTTAAATTGAGTGGAAAAGATGGTGAGCAGATGAGCATGAGAGGCGATCACTCTCTGTTCCTCTAAGTATAATCACTTCTCTTCCACTCAGCCATGTGGTTCAAGACATACTTTTATGCACAGGCCATTACAGCCAAGGCATCCAATGAGGCTCCTTTCGCCACATCAGAGGACTTTCTTTCACTGCCTTTGCTTTGTATGTGTCCATAAACATTTACACAAAGAAAATTGGACACAATAACAAAAACAGTGCAAATTGCGGTACAAGAGGATTTCTGAAGATCCATATCACCTCCCCTAATTTTGAGCTCCTTGTTATGTGAAAAGGACAAAAGCATGTTTGCAAACAAAGACGGATCTAAATGCCCATGTTTATTTAAATGGTTAATCCAAATGGTCAAAAATTAAATAAAATTGATCAAAAGTGACAGTAAAGACATTTATAATGTTACAAAAGATTTATATTACAAAATAAATGTTCTTTGAATTGTATTGCCATCAAAGAAACTTGGAAAAAATGCATCACAGTTTTGATAATAATAACAAAGGTTTTATGACCACAAAATCATCATATTAGAATGATTTCTGAAGGATCATGTGACACTAAAGACTGAAATGAAGCTGTCATCACAGTGTAGAAACAATTTTCACTCCAAAATTGCTGGTAATTTTCACAATTAATTATAAAGAAATTGCAAGTAACATTGAATTAAATGTGACATTTTTAAGTAGAATAACTAAAATTGTATTTTATTGTAAAAAGTACTCAAATGTTCTCAAAACAGTAGTTTAAAAATACATTTTTTTATTTCAAATACTAACATGAGAATAATTTCCTTTTGAAATGAAAATGGCAGATCAAAATGAAAAACAGATCCACTCAGCTTTTTCTATGGTTTTGTCTCAAACTTTTAAAGTGAGTATTTCTCAAGTAATGACAACATGTAGAAATGAAAAACTGTTACCATTGATGTATTCTGCTTATAATTAAAGTCAAACTTTTGAATTGTTTTCAAAAATGATTATGAACACTCATTCATGTGTATTTTTTTTCTTACATTTTTTTAATCGACACAATTCATTTTAAACTGTATTTTTAAAGTATTTTGAATGAGATAGACACTCGTATTTGTCATTATAATCTTCTCACAAATTAGATTTTTCAAAATACTTGCTGCTATTTTGCAGTCATCTTTCTATAAGATAAGAAAATGAACAGCATCCCTATTAGTTAGCTAATTTGACTGAAACAATGGAGTGAATGTGCAGGGCTTTATTACCACATCACTGCACAAGATTGCCATTCATGTTAAATTGAGTGGAAAAGATGGTGAGCAGATGAGCATGAGAGGCGATCACTCTCTGTTCCTCTAAGTATAATCACTTCTCTTCCACTCAGCCATGTGGTTCAAGACATACTTTTATGCACAGGCCATTACAGCCAAGGCATCCAATGAGGCTCCTTTCGCCACATCAGAGGACTTTCTTTCACTGCCTTTGCTTTGTATGTGTCCATAAACATTTACACAAAGAAAATTGGACACAATAACAAAAACAGTGCAAATTGCGGTACAAGAGGATTTCTGAAGATCCATATCACCTCCCCTAATTTTGAGCTCCTTGTTATGTGAAAAGGACAAAAGCATGTTTGCAAACAAAGACGGATCTAAATGCCCATGTTTATTTAAATGGTTAATCCAAATGGTCAAAAATTAAATAAAATTGATCAAAAGTGACAGTAAAGACATTTATAATGTTACAAAAGATTTATATTACAAAATAAATGTTCTTTGAATTGTATTGCCATCAAAGAAACTTGGAAAAAATGCATCACAGTTTTGATAATAATAACAAAGGTTTTATGACCACAAAATCATCATATTAGAATGATTTCTGAAGGATCATGTGACACTAAAGACTGAAATGAAGCTGTCATCACAGTGTAGAAACAATTTTCACTCCAAAATTGCTGGTAATTTTCACAATTAATTATAAAGAAATTGCAAGTAACATTGAATTAAATGTGACATTTTTAAGTAGAATAACTAAAATTGTATTTTATTGTAAAAAGTACTCAAATGTTCTCAAAACAGTAGTTTAAAAATACATTTTTTTATTTCAAATACTAACATGAGAATAATTTCCTTTTGAAATGAAAATGGCAGATCAAAATGAAAAACAGATCCACTCAGCTTTTTCTATGGTTTTGTCTCAAACTTTTAAAGTGAGTATTTCTCAAGTAATGACAACATGTAGAAATGAAAAACTGTTACCATTGATGTATTCTGCTTATAATTAAAGTCATAAATGCTGGCTGTCAATAGTGTTGGTAGAGAGCATAAAGTCTGATTTTAACCTACAAACCATGAACAACTACATACAAAAGCACAGTTAATACAAAATGACACAAAGTAACTTTAAAGATCAACAAACAACAACACCAATGCAAACAATGCATTAAACAGCAAAACAGTTAACAGTAAAGCAACTCTGCAGGAAAGTGGACCTTAAAGGCCAGAGTTGAGAATCCCCTATCTAAACCTTTGACTGTGTAAAATAAGGAAATACTGTCTCATAATGTCTCAGTAAGTGCTTCATAATATTCACTATGAAATTTGAGGAGGCACAAAGTCATATAATTAAGCCTTAATGAATTTCTCCTACCTGTTATTCATTGGCAGATGGAGATGCGCATGCAGGACCAGCAGTTGGCCCGCCAACTTATGCGACTACGCGGAGACATCAACAAACTCAAAGTGGAGCAGACGTGTCACCTGCATCGCCGAATGCTCAACGACGCCACCTTTGGTCTGGAGGAGCGTGATGAGATGTCGGATCTTTTGTGTGATGGACCCGTCACTCCAGGGTTTGGCCTCTCTTCACCACTGCGCCTCATTGGTGTCACCAAGATGAACATCAACTCCAGACGCTTTTCCCTTTGCTAGGCAACTGCAAAAGAAAAGAATCAGGGAGTCAAAATTGACTACCCTGGTAGTCAGTGTTGAAGCGAATAATCTTAGACAACTGTTTAGGAACCCATAAGAACTGTTGTCACAGAACATCCTGTGCCTCTTGCTCTATGCACTTGTGCCAGTGAAACCTTTTCAGTTAATCAAATGAACAATAGACAGTGACTTCTAAAAAATGTCTGATCCACTAGCCATGGCTCAATACCTTAGATACAGTCCTTGTTGTGGTTATGAGATATCAACTGATGTCACTTACCACACACATGCTCTGTTACAAAACCTTGTAAACTATCAAATACGCACACTTTGATGCAAAGACACGAAGCCTCCCAAAACACATTGTTTTAGCCAAATTCTAAGGCAGCATTTGTTGCGTTAAGCTCAGTGAAGATTGTGGATGAAGCATTACAGGTGTCATGACATGGAATTTTAAATTATTTTAATATGTTCCTTGAGGTTCACTTATAATGTTAATGAAGTTTTTTGCACAAAAAACAAATATATATGTGGAAAAATTATTATTTTCAACCCTCATTCTGACCCTCAGTCTAAAAATTATCCATTTTTAAGGAGTGGGTCCTTTAAGGCTTGTCAGTAATCAGCTACTGTTATGATTGGCAGTTATGATTGGCTAACGTCATTGCATATGAAACAGTATCAGTATCACACCCTCAATACTACATGTGAATAAGTGTTTTGAAAGGCCCAGTACTGCTTCATCTTTCAACAAAAATTTCTCTTTCATCATCTCATGTTTGAAATCCACCTATGCTAAGGGCATCCGTGCCTGACCTCTGCAAAAGTATCCAATTGCACCAAGTTTGACTTGACAGACAGGAGCGCGTGCCCAGTGGCAGGTAAAGGAACCACCTCTTAACGAGCACATAAAGCCCCTGCACACACTACTTTTACTCAATTGACATTCACTTCTTGCGACCTCTGGAAATGTACTCACAGCTCATTGGTTGACTTCTTCAGGAGGACACATCTTTGGATCAGCCTCTGCCAGACGTGTTTGTCATTTTTACTATGTCAGCTGTTTTATTCTGCAAGCCGCCCACACTCGCACTTGTTACTAGGCTGTCCGTCTCTTACCTCGCCTTTTCCTCACTCCATCTACTGTCCGCTACTCATGGCTCTTTCGAAATCGAATCCAGCTACCCCCGTGGACAACCAGTCGCGAGCCTGCCTGGCTACGTGAGGCACCCTCATTTCCGCTAGGGATCTTCTTTCCTTTTGCGTTGTTTGCATGGGTCTTAAACACTCTCAAGAAGCCATCGATTTCCCGGAGAACTGTAGCCATTGCTTGCTAAGAAGCTCCTGCATCGGAGGCTCAAGGTGGCTGCTACTCAGAGCGTCGACTTGGGATTGTCTGACTCGGATGGGGAAAAAGGTGACTCCGGCGCACTCCCAGGGGCCTCCTGCCAACAACTGGAGAAAGGGTCGCCATCACCCGATCTCTGGAAGGAGATAGTCACAGTGAATGACCTCATTCTCCATAATGCCTGTCAGGCTGTCCAAGCGTGCGGGCGCTCTGTGGCTCTCTCGGTGGTCAGAGAGCACATACTGTGTGTTAATCTTTTGCTGGAGTGCCGGTCGAGCCTGGCCAGGCTCTCTTCGGTCCTGTCGTCGCGCTAATGCAGCAGCGCTGAGACGATAAGAAAAAGGAGGATGAGGCTTTCAAACTTTGTCTTCCTAGGAAACCTGCCCCGTGCCAGATACTCTCTGTGCGGCCTCCTAACCTCCCGGCCTCATAGACCCTGCAGTAAGCCACCGGTGCAGCAGAGTGAGTCCCCACCTGCTAAACCCTGGGGGAAAATGTCCTTTGCTACTGCCGCAGAGGTTATCTGTCGGCAACATTTGTCTGATACTACAGGCTTGATGTTACCCACACCCAGGTAGCTCATTCAGTTTTAGGTATGGGTTCTTCGTAGCCTTGTGCCCTTAGACCCTCTACACCTTTTAAGCCTGAGTTGTCCAGCTCGGCTTAATCATGTCATTAAGCAGGTCATCTGTACCCTCCTTTGACACCAAATTATATATATTTATATGTATATATATGTCAATATATCTATAATATATGCCGTCAGCATGAGGTGTGTTGTCAGGTTTGGTATGCATGTTACCGCATGTCATTTCTTTTATGGCTGGTAATGCATTCTCACTTTGTGTGGGTTCTGATACTTGGTGATGTGTCAAACACCACCTTTCCAAGTGACCGTTCTCTGACTTACAGGGCCTCACTGTGAGAGTATTGGGTAACCGGGGAGCTGTCTATATCTCCCATAGGTGGATCTCGAACACGAGATGATGAAAGAGAACAATAAGTTGCTGTTCGTAACCCCGGTCTCTGAAACATCGAGTGGAGAGATCCACCAAGTCTGCCCCGCTTGCTGCACGAGAAGCGAATATGCTCACTGAGGAAAGGTAGCGTGTGCAGGGGTTTTATGTGTTCGGTTAAGGGGCGGTCCCTTACCTGCCATTGGGCAAGTCAGACTTGGTGCAATTGGATGCTTCTGCAGGGGTCAGGCACAGATGCCCTTCCCATAGGTGGATCTCTCCACTCGATGTTTCAGAGAACCGGGGTTACGAACAGTAACCTATTGTTTCTTTGCAAACTCTCCATTACATTGTGCCTCGTTTACAAAACAAAATGCTCTGAACAAATGTATAATTCTCCGATACGATCCAGGATGCCATTCAAAATAGACCATCCGCTTGTTTCTGATGCTGGGATCCTTCTGATGTCTGTTCAAAGACGCGAATGAGCTGTTTAAACCAAAACCAAACGTTCTTTCACTCTTGTCCTATAGACATTGTCAGAAACACGCATCTGTATACTGTATCCAGCATAGACAAGACAGCGGCAGTTATTAAAATTGGGTTCTAGTTACATTTGACACGACACAATGCGACACTCGCATCCAGTGTAGGCATGTACAGCCATTTAAAGTGATTGAACGCCAGTGGGCGGGGCCTATGGTGAGAAGATGATTATTTGTGAATGTCTTGCTATGGAGGTGGTGTTTATGCAAATGCACTTGTGACGTCACATGCCACCTCAGATCCAAATGAGCTGTTTTTGGAGCTTGATTAAATAAATGCTTTGTTTATAATGAGGAGGACGTTTTAAGCTATGAAACTTGCAGGATGTTTTAATGGTACAAAGACCTCAATATCAAGGCAAATTTAATTTCTCATGTCATGACCCCTTTAAAAATGTTGATTATTAATTAACTTACATATCATTGAATACTGAAAAGTATTGATTCATGTAATTTAAATGAATTATTTTATAATATTTGTGTATTTTATGCTTAGTAGTACATTACATTAGCTGTTAATGTCAACATGTTAATGTTAGCATGTTAATGTCAACAGACAAAAGTTGCCGTCTACTTTTTCAACTGAAGTCAAGTGAGGCCATAGTGAAGCAGCTCTCTAGGTTTTGGAACAGGGCTATAGCCTTAATTCAGTTTTGCTTGTGTATGAAACAAAATGTCTCAAGCAGTTTTACATCAATCCTACATGCAAGTTTGAACGCTACCCTAAGATTTTTTTTATTTTTTTTTTTACATGTATTTTATATTTGTATTCTGGTATAAGATATTATGCTTGGAATGTACAGTAAAAATGGCATTTGTTATGTACAGTATTATAAAATCCCATTCTGCAGATCATCTTTGGAAACATGCTTACAGAAACAGAACGTTTCCAATAATTCATCTATATAATCCTGCAATAAATGTTTTACAGTACATTGTTGCTGAGTTAATATGTTACTATAAAAGGAAGCAAGAAGGGTCATCATTTTACCGCTTTGTGTACATTGAGCTTATGCCAATCTAAGTATGTAGCCAATTTCTCTTAAGTGGTTCCATTTTGCCCAATTTGGGAGGAGCGTCTCAGCTGATTTCCATCATTCAAATGACATGTTTTCGTAAACAAAACGGCAACATATGTGCAAAGACTACGTTAATAAGTGCCATTACTACACTCAATTACCTTATTTGGGGATGTTTAGGTGCTTCCTGTTTGTTTGAACACTGGAGTATTTTGGTTCACTTGGTTTACTTTTTGATCTTGAACATTTGCAGTGCTTCTTTAATGAATGTGAATATTGTGCTGGATAACTCAGTCAGAACAATAGGCCTACCTCAGAGAAAATGTCTAGCCTTTCTCATTTACGTTTCTTCAAAAGATGGGGTGAAACCAGCCCTTAACAAAAGCTGAAAGGATGTGTTTCAAAGTCCTTTTTCGGGAAGGTAGTGTTTCACATCCCTTCACGATGTCTGGCTTTTGTGTACATCCAAACCATCCTTGATCAATGATAAACTCCCAAAGCATTCTGGAACTTGACATATTGTCTCACAATTAGCAGTCTAGCACAATATCCACACTTGTGTGATATTGCTTAATCAGATTATATTTTCCTTACAAAACTGCATGCTTCGTGTAAAGCAATAGAGTGCAACAGTCAGGCTCCGGAAGTAAAAATCCCATTATTTTTTCTCTATAAACACTCTTAGGTACAAAACTGTCCCTGGGACGGTACCCTTTACTAATATGTACATTTAAAGTACTTTTATATACTATGTAACATTTAGGGGTAAATAAGTTCCAAAGACGTACCTTTTAGCTTTTGTACCTTACCGCACCAGCGACAGATTTGTACCTTTTTTTCTAGTGTAGGGTGTAGGGGAATTGATTTTAAATGATAATTTACAAAATACAAACCTACTGT